CATCACACCCACCGCAACGTGTCGACCCCCTTTTTCCCACCCTTCACCATGCGTCCCAAGTTCCTGTTCCAGTCAGTTCCAACGTTTCCCTTCCGGCGGCCAGCGTGGCAGCGTCTCCCCATGTCCGACATCTGCAAAAATCGTACGCAAATAACGTCAGTGCCTCCCCTCCAGGTCTCCCTTCTCACCCCCCAATCGTGGCTCAGCCCTCTATAAATATCAATATTCAATGATTTTCCCAGGGGACCCGCGATCAAGGGTTCCATCCACGGATTCCCACCATCGAGAAACCTACCTCTCCCAGCAATGATCATCGCCAAATTTTCCCTTCCCGCCTTCCTCAATTGCCAACAGCCCATCATCAAACCGAAAGCTCCCCCCCCGAACCCTTGCTCGCCCGTCCCCTTCGCCAACCTTGATTATGGTAATCGGTCAGGGACCAATCTGCCATCTGCTCGTGCGCCGCCGTGCGGCCCCCCCTTCTCCGAACATGAATCCCGGGCTGCCCCCGCAAGACCCACGCAGATGGAAGTCCCATCGAAGATTTTTCTGCCCTCCTTCCCAACTCTCATCCCCCCCTACCATCGCCAATGACCTCATGATCGACAAAACACATGCTGTCTTGGGCAACCGTGGCCGTCAATAATCGCTGCATCCCGGCGGCGTCGATGGAGACCCTTTAAAAGGTATTAAGTGTTCCTAGGGCAAATCCACCAACAAAACCCTGATCCTGGTGATTCCCAGGGCGCGCGCACGCGGGATGCTCTCCGATGGCCACTGAGAATGCCGGGCCACCACGAGAGTAACGGCAAACAAGCCCGCTTGCGAGAGGGACAAAGATCCAAAAACCCAGTGACCCGACCTCCGGCAAATTGCACCGTGGCTGGGCGGAGATCTAGCGGAACCTTGTGCTGCTTCCTTCTCACTTTGTCTCCCTACCCCCGCCGGTAGCCCCCGGTGAGTCTTGAGATGAAGCTTGCCGTTGCCGTGTGTTGATGGTGAGCTCCAACTCTGTACCTGCGCAGTATGCACAGTTTTTGCCGCCGTTAGTGCTGCAACCTCCGCCTGGCTACCCTCGTCGACCGCTCGCGCTTACAAAGTTAACCCTAAGCGTCGTCATTTCCTAGACCCGAGCAGAGGGCACGTCCCGGGGTCAACGACAACGGTCCCTTCCATGTCCCGGCACAGGGCATCTTTCTGCCCCGGGCCTCCGACTGCAACGTGAGGTGGACCTCAACCCAAGCAGGTGAACTCAACCGTGGTTGCCCTGATGCATATTGACGAAAGCTTCTCATCACCGGTCGCGCTTGATGGCAACCTCGCGTCTCCACCACCCGAGATGCGTACACCTCCGGAGGCGGGTCTCAAGTCCCGAGATGCGTGCCTCCTATGTTTCCACACTGCCATCGTACGGTAAGATTGGGATTAAGCTGCAGGGCAACAGGCCAGGGCATGCATCCCATTGAAAGCTGTTGACTGAGGCTGTCTTGCCCATCGAGATGGTGTTTCCGGTTCAAGCTATGCCCACTGACTCATGCCAGTGCGTCGAAGCGAACTTTGACAGGTTTATTGAGACTTAACGAAGCGTGATAATATCGAGTCTCCGTCATCAAAGCCCTCTGCTTTCTTCCGGCGGTTGCCGCCGCTCCTCTTCGCCTCCGTTGCTGTGGAGTCTTGACTTACAGTTGCAATTACGGCAGGTCGCTGAGGCACGGAATCCTACGCTGACCTGGAAGTGTCACGAGAGTAAGCAATTTCAGGTGTAATAGGTCGTTGGACCGCTGCAACCTCGCGTCGAATTGCACTTTTCGCTTCAGAGCTCTCCACTGCTGTGTTTTGAACGCCTCAACAGACCTCGTGATTGTGCCTAGGTTGGTCGACTGGTGGCATGCCGCATGTGTAGTCTGCTCGGCCGTTGCGCCGAACGGTGGCCGTTCCCAAGCGGCAGATGTCGGGACCCTTGATTGACTGGCAGACTGTTGGTATCGATCGGTCTTCAGGGCTCGCAGCTAGTGTCCGGCACCCCTGGGTAGCCTTCGCAGAAGATCCCAAGCTGGGCCTCATCGATAACACCAGCTTGGGAAGCACACCATCAGTCGTCACAATCTTATGCGGACATTGGTGTGTGAACATGCCATTAGGCGGGATGGCATGGGGGTGTGTAGGGGTGGCGCTGTCTTCCCCCAAAAGCTCATGCTCCGAAGCCACACGGCCTTCGGCTCCGCAAACGTGCATGGCGACCCTCTGTGCTCTTGACGCGATCAGAGACATGTCTGCCAGAGTGCGACGACCGGCCGCCCACAAGCCAGTCGAGAGGGGTACATTCGCAAAGCTTGGCAAATATTTTGGCTCGCGATAACATCGCACGAGACGGATTGATCTTTCGGTGGTCGCCACGGCATGTTGCGGGCTCCGTGCCCTTGCTCGATAGTGCAAGCTGAAGGGCGTCGTGAGAAAGTCGTAATCTTTGCCACGGTTCATATTGCACCGACGAAGACGACGACGACGCGGTGGCGCCTGCCCGAGGTCGGCATCGTCGTCCGGCGCGTCGTCGCTTGTGGGCAATGGGAGGCAATTGGGTTGGACATGGCATCCTGGGAAGCCCTCGAGATCCCGGGGTAAGGTCCAGGGAGCTTCAGCTGGAGTTTGAATACCCACCACCAAAGTACTCTCCCATCTCGCCTGGCAGCACCACATCGTATCCACCCGGTGAATTATCCGGATGAGCAGTGGACAAATTCGACCACGAGCGCTTTGTTGGACGGGAGCTCAAGCAAACCCGCAGACTCGGCAACGACTCTCATCAGTCGACGCCACATCGTCCATGTGCCGCATTCCGAAAAGCATGAGGCGCCGAGACTTGACCCCCATCGTCAGACCAAAAAGAGAGTGTTTGGATGGGGCCATCTGCAGCGAGAGCGAGATCATGACGTTGCTGCCGCATCCCGACGCCCCTCATTGGGACTGCACAACGGGGGCCGTCTGACAGCTTTCTCCCAAATTTGGCAGATTCAACACTCTGGATGATGCGGCGCAAGGGCACACATGATCAGATGGCAGCGTTTCAGACTTGCAAGCTGCCCGGTTCAAAGTTGTTATTGGTCTCTGAACCGTGGATCGTCTCTGTCGGCGTGTGTTTCATCTGTTCATAGAGGCAGTTGTTGGCAGAATTGGCGGCCATTTGTGTAGGCCGCCGTTGGCGCAAATCAAGCGACGTGCATAGTGCAGCTGTAAAGACGCAGCAACTTGTGTGTGAGAGCGTCGTGGTGAGGTCGCGAGGGCTCGGGACTTCGTGGGGTGGTGGAGCCGAAGTCTCTTCCAAAGACACTTCGGTGAAAGGGGCCCCCGCTGTGTTGAGAGTTTGCTGGTCATGAAATGACATCATTCTTCCGTGGCGGTGCGTTCTCCAACTCCTTGGACATCCATCCCCGGTCCGGTTGGAGATGGAAGATGGGGGTCCCTGAGCCCGTTGCCGTTGTGTTTCTCCCCAATGACCCCGAGAGGAGACGAGCAATTCGGAGCAGAGCAGCGCAACGCGAGCCGCGTCTCCAGTCGGCTACATCCTCACAAGGCGACCGCCAATATGTTGCATGATCCGCCCACAACAGAATTTTTCCTTCCGGTCGCCAGTCTCCATCTCGGTGGCACCAAACCAAACCCTCAGAGTAACAGTCCAAATCTTACAGTTCCATTCCCACTGGTCACTCATGTCGTCAGTGAGGCATTTGCCATTTGACGATGGTAATGAGCACGACGCTGAAGGGGCGAATTCTCGTTCGACCTGAAGACGTTCCCCCATGTCCATGCCAGCGCACATGGCTGCAGGTGATCACGAGGTCGATCCCACAAGAGACTCCATCCCAAGCGCCGGCCGCAGCTTGCTCCTGTCCCACCACCAAGCTTGATAATGTACCGCATAACTGGGAATCTCTGGGACTTCCAACTACCGATGTCTGATGATTTCTTGGGTCTGCGCCAGATGCCTGTCAAGCCAAATCCATGCGATCCCAGACTTGTTGTGCGGAGGCACCATGAGGCTGATGAAGGTTAGCATGACAGCGTCGGCATTGTCAGGTCTTCCCTGCGGTGTCCGACTCTGGCAACTGTGATTTAGCTCGAATCCAAGAGTTTGGGACATTTCTTGCGAGCCGTCATCCCTGGCGCCCGTGGAATCAATTTCTTCGTAGCGGGTTACGAGGACCAATGACTTTGTCATGGTTGACAAAGGATCCCGGGCATGTCTGCGAGATTGGGGGCCGTGTCGCCGCATTCTCTCCATATTGTCTGCCTTTCATGTTTTGTTGGGGGCGATACCATTTCAGTGGTCCATCTGAGCGGTCAGAGGATTCTTTTGTGAGCTGTTGTGCCGTGCCGACTTGGACTGCTGCCAACACGGGACGAACGGCTGGCACAACTTGCCAATTAAGGGTATTGTTGTAGTTGATGACCAAAGGCGGCGCTCATTGGCCTCGTGTTTCCCCTTCAGTACAACCAGTGGGATGAACTATTATTCATAGGGCAGAATCTCCAGCATTCTCAACCACATGATCGGCGTCGCAGTCTGTTTAGCCGAATCCTTCCCCGACGTTCTTTGATTCTGCACCGATACTCGTTTGGTCCCTAGCTCAGCCCTCCCTCCAAACGACGCGGAAAAACAGCACCGAGGGATAGCTCTAGCTGTTGCTGACCCGCCAGCTGTTTCTCGCTATCGTGGCCTGTGGTTGGGCTTCTTGACGAGACTCGACATTGGAATGTGGGTAAGGAGGTACTCCTGGGTCGAAATGACGTCAGATCTTCTCCTCTTCAACGCCCCGCCACGTCCTGAAAATTTGGGAACAATCACAGCGGTGCGAAACGGCCCCCGCCAGTGGCCTGTACCAGCTCCTAGGGCGATGTCTGACATGAGCCGGTCTCGAGGACTATTCCCAAATGGAGACCTGTCGCGAGGCGCGACAGGTCGTTGACACTAGCATTAGTCGTGCGGCGCGCGGCGCGCGTGGATGATGGGGGTCCGTCTGTTTAGGCGTTACCATAGCGTAAGCAGTTTTGGCAGTGATAGTGGCTTGTCGTTGTCTTTTGAGTATCAAAATCATCGCTGATCAGTGATCACTCAGTCCATTCTGCAAGGGCAAGTGTCAAGGCTCGCGTCGGGCCCAGTCAGTGCCTCCACCGAACTATTGGGACGTGCTGGTTGCTGAAGGGGCTCGCCCAAGCGCAGCCAGATGGGCCAGGTCATCGCTTAAGCTATCATCGACAGTCGATCATCAGGTCCGCACTCGAAACGACGAGCTTGATGTTCACCTCACCGGCTAATTCGCCAGAGATGAACATATATCTGGACGGTCTTCTCTCATGTGTCAAGTTAGAAGTAGTCTTTGAAAAAAGACCCGAAGCGTTTCGACTTCGATGCCCAGCGAAAAGGGACTCCTGTGGTAAATAAGCTTAGATGAAACAAGGATCACAACGCCATTTCCCTCAGTGACAGTCGCGCCAATCTGTCGACACGCTGCATTTGGGCCAGGCTACCGGGATCCCTTGAGGCACCCTCGCAGAATTCCACCTCCGCAAAATGAAAGGAGGTTCAGAGCCATCTCAGGATCCGTACGCTTTCAGAGTTTCTTGCGCTGCGGTTGGTGAGGATGCGACGAGACTTTGATTTAGTCGCGCCAGCGTTGCATTTCCGTCTACGGTGTCTCGAGATGCCGCGCCGGCACGGGCAATCGACGGCAACAAAGTCTACCGCAATGAGATGCCTGGCATGGTGTTTCGGGATACTTAGGTGCAAGAGAGCCTAAACTCGAAACACTTGAGCAGCGTTGTGCAGCAAGATCCAGTCACCTAGAGCGCCCACCCCCGACCACCTGTCGAATATGTAAGTCTGGCACCAATAGATGGGAACAAAGGCGGAGGCTGGATGAACTTGCATAGAACGGGCGGCCGGGGCTCCGGACTGCGTGGATCGTTCCGAATGCCAAACGGCTCCTGGAGGGTATGACGTCAACGCCTCCGTTTTCTCCTCGCATCCTGACCGCCACGACAAAGGCGGCGGCATGAATCCGATGGCGCATGCTTCGGTTTGAATGGAGCAGCGGAACCCATGACATTGAGTCGCGGGAAAATGTGTCTGGTCAATTGCTGCATCCTCCCCACCAGGCGGAGGTGCACAGCGACGTCCTCTTAGAACGCCATGTACGTGTAAGCGCCCCGATAATCAGGGGTACGGAGATTGCTGTCACTCCAAGCTAGCACCACGCAAAAGGTGCTTTGATGACAATATCGCCTCCTGAGAGACTCAACACGAAGGGGCAGTGACACTGCTGCAAGCAATCTATCATTCGAAGATTAAAATATCAACCGCGATGATCATGGAAGGCTCCGTGAATATTCGAAGAATGCCTGTCTTTGGCGCCAGTAAAGAGGTGTGGACGAATGTCGCTATGCGGAAGGACGATCCCTCGGTGTGGCGTCGCAATCGCGCTTGGCCGCCACGGAAGGCTGCCCTGTGATGCCACAACCGCCGGCGACCAACAAGATATCTAGCAGATTGACGGCTCAAGATGGTTCGCGACGTGATGTCGTGAAAGCAAATTAAATGGACACGGATGGCATAGCGGAAGCCACGCCACGTGCCTCATCCCGCGCGCGGGTACCAATGTCGGCTACAATGGTGCTAACGGCGCGGCGACCAGAAAGACGTTGGCGACGTTGCGATAGCGCCGGTTTAGAGTTCACTAGACGGATTGTAACGGTCGGCGACGCCAAAGGCCTCAGTCTGCAATAGGTAGGGTGGCCGGCGGCCGTTGTTGTATTCAGTGGGCACTGATGTCGAATCAACCGCCCTGCAAGAAATTGAATTGAAACGTTGATTTTGTTGGACAACGGCGGCTTTGCGGCGAAGGTGTGTGCAGGTCTGCCGAGTCTGGGTACCCGGAACAGACTCCGCCGCCAGCCGAGGCCGAGACATCAGCCTTCTTCAACTTCGGCCGCCGGTCTAAGTCAGGGAAGCGGTCGAGAAACAGGAACGCGCAGTGCTCGTAGTGGATGGATTGCTGATCTCGTGCTTGAATCGTGGCTCGCATCGAGGAAGCAACGATACTCTGGAGTTTACGGCGCATTGAGCAACGATCGGCTTTCGCTAGTCATAGCCAGGGTCAAGCGAAAGCGTCTCCCATGGAGTTGGTGTTGCGATGGTCGATCCGAGACTAGAGTCAGCGCCGACTAAGTTGTCGGCTGCATCGAGCCGCGGGCGTGGAGTGACTCTAGCTTCTCATCTGCTTGCGCCGGCTCAACTGGCCGGCTATGCGATGATCGACTCGATGATGGGCATGGCGAGTGCCGTTGTTGGTTGAAGCCCCGGGCATGACCGCTCTTCGAGATGACGATATTGACAAGCTCAGATGAGCTCTGTGGCTGCTCGGTAGGTCATGGGAAAGGACAAACATAGAAGCCTCTAACTTCGGGCACATGCCGTTTGCGGCGTGCCTCGATTAGGATGCGACGGCTCTTCACCTCGTCTAAGGCGCTTCGGCGAGGGGGGCGAAACGGAGATTGCACAGCCACAAGGACAAAGGGTCCAGGGGTCTATTGGGGCCTATTCTGGCGCGCAATGTGCATTGTAGTGGTACATCGGCGATGACGATGGGCTTTCTTCTGCAAGCCGTTGCAAGTTCATGCCAGGTCGTTGTTGATCTGGCGGCAGAAGCAACTTCTGAGTCTCCCAAATTTTGAGGGGGGAGACACAGGTGCGCCTCGTGTGCGTTGTATGTGATGGGATTCTGCTGCTGCAGTGTTCATCCATGGAAATTGACAATATTTGAAGTTTGATATCATCACAAGGGGGGTTTTTTTTTCCTTTGTTCCGCATGCCGTCGGTTAGTGAGCCGCGAGACGCAATTGCAGGTGCGAGGGGCGTCAAGCTGGCATGCACATTCGAGCCAAGTCGACGGGGGTTGCTCGACGGATTGGTATTGCGCAATGAGGCTAGATCTTCCCGTGGAATGCGTCCCAAGCATCGGACGAGCGAGGGGGGGCTGGCGGATTATCTCGGGCGGCTTGACGGATTGATAGAAAGAAGCAAAGAAAGCAGATATTGAACTATAGCGCCGGCGGCTGTGGGCTGTGACTAGCGATGAGATGAGGTCGTGTGGCCAGGCCAGTAGACGGATGCCAGACCGGCGGGCGCGTCGGAGTAAGGCTCTTGTCCCGGGCGCATCCCAGGCGTTAAGCGTCCGGGACGCATAAGAAGGCGTTTTGTGCAGGACAACTGAACAACGCAAGCGCGTCAGCATCCAATTTGTTCAATGCTTGGGCCGCCATAGAGACCGCAAAGCGCTGGAGTATCCGTCAGGTCGAGGTTTTTCTTGGGCAGCGCTGGCATGGGAGGATGGGGCATCCGGCTGTCAGAAATGCGATGATCTCACAAGTACCGATCCAGGACACAGCATCTTAATCAGACGATATCCACCCGCCCACTCCGTACCATGACTGTTGTGGTATTGGCAGTCTAAGGGGAGAGGGATGAAGCCTGTGAGTGGAAGCAATTAGAAGAGAAAAAAATAGAGCACGAGAGACTAGGCGTGCAAGAGAGGGAAACCACGAAGGGGTCGCCGATGGGAATGACGACGAGGCCCAGGGAGCACGGTACACGAGAGTGCCAAAGAGAGGATGGGGAAAACAAATCCAGTTTTATTTCCCCTCTGTGTCGTTTCTCATGTGGCAGTGGTGATGTCGGTGCACGCGAGCATAAAGTGTGTTTTGCGACAAGAGGTTGCATGGCGGTAAATTGATGGAAGGGAGGGACCTTGTGCGGAAGATGATGTGATTGAAATTGACCCCCCAAGCGGGAGGACGTGGACGGGAGAAGCTCAGGTCGGGTCAGGTCATGTCGATCAAGTAAGGACTGTCCCGGATCGTGGACGACGGGATGTTGCGCAGGACACCGGAAGGAAGGTTGGTGGCTGCTGCTGGCCGTTGCGCAAAACGGGCAGGGCGTCTTGATGGGAAACTGGAGGAAAGCGCCAGCCAAGGTCATGGTAATGTGGACTACCACCTTCCATGCCTGAGGTAAGGCGGGCAGGCGGGCAGGTGGGCAGAGGCAGGCAGGAAGACAGGAACGGGCACGTTAAGGTTTGGGTGAGGTGCCTCCATCGCACCTGCCATGTGTGAAGTCTTTCTAGGTACCTTTCGTTCCGGAAGGCAGGCAGAGAGAGGCAGGCACGACAGACAGCGGCGGGACGGGACAGGCTGACTGGTGCGCTAAGACGGCGGCGGGAATGGCGCCCTTCATCGAGGAAAGAAAGGGACCCTCCGTTTGCACTTGCACTGATTTGCACTGATTTGCACTCGCACTGATTTACACTCGCACTGATTTACACTCGCACTTGCACTCGCACTTGCACTTGTACTTGCATTGGGTGGAAGCAGCCAACCAACCGTTGGTGTCTGTCCGTCCGTACCTGCCTCCGTCCCCATCCCCCCGTCTCCGTTTACCCTGCGTCTTACCTTACGCTGTCCCGTCCTGGGGGATGGTAGCTCCTGTGACTGGTCGCCGGCCCAGAAGGGGTCAGAAGGGGTCACGGCAACCACGTTTTGTTTCCCAAAGATCGTGCGGAGAGAAGGGATGGAAGCCAATGCAGCTGGAAGGGGAAGGCAAGGGAAGGCAAGTGGAAGGGAAGGGGTCTGGCCTAGCAGTACCTACGCGTACGCGACCTTACCTAGGTGCCGCGGGAGAGAATAGCTCCCGGAGTTTCCCTCTCTCGCTTCAGCTTCAGCTTGCTTAGCCTCACTCAGCTGCCGACCGTCTTTCAGATTTCTGCCTGCCTTTCTCTTCTGCTCGCTCGTTTTTCTGCCCAAGACTCCAGCGTTTCCAGCTGTCACGTCGGTCTGTAATATCGAGGTAAGCACAAGTGAAAGGGCCCGAGGCGAAAAGCACTACGTCAGTTGGGTAAGGCGGCCGTAGTGCGACGTCGCCCCCTGCTGCATCCCCCACTCTCCGACTCTCACTCTCGCTCTTTCTCCGAGTCTACTGAAGTTTGAGAGAAAAGTGTCGGCTGACTATGCAGGGAAGAAAGAAACGAATGGCAACATGGCTGTCTGTATCCGTACTATGCAGCAAAGTAAGGAAGGCAGCTCGACAGGGCCCCGGAAGCCAAACTGTGTGTGTGCGTGTGCCTGTGCGTGTGCTCTTCAATCCATTTCC